TGCAAAAAACAGCAGCAGCACCACAATAAAAACCCTTGTCCTTTGCAGGAATCTGGATAACTTGTTTCCTCTGGGTTCTGCAGAGACATTAGAGTGCAGCAGTTCAAGCAGTCTGGCTGGGATTAAATGTGGAATGTCTCTCCTCCTTCGTATGCAAACCGCATCTTTCCCCGCGCAATCATTTCCTCCCCGCAGTTTGTCCTTCAGAGAGTTCAAGAGAGAGTTCATTTGCTTGGGAAGAGCAAATGTTTTAAATACAGGGAGAGCTCAAGGATTTACACTAGCCAGGAGGAAAACATGAAGTTCAGCTTTGCTGTCTTCTCAGCAAAGAATAGAGTGGCTTTGCGCTGCAGTCCTGCGCTGCCTGGCACTGGATTGTTTCCCGATATGTAGTTCTTGGAATGCAGCTGCTGCTTCTCTTGACAAATTAAGTAATGTATCCCGAGCAACTAAAATTCATTGCAACATAAAAACAAATATATGTTCATTTTACTGCTTTGTTTTCTCCCGGCTTGTGAATCACAGTGGGCTATTTTAAAACCCATTTATCTTTTATAAATCTCTTTAATAATATCCGCACAATATTGCGGCAGCACTTTACTGAACAGCAGCCTTATCCAGCCACATAAAATGTAGGTCCTATTGCTTTTTATTCCCCCAGACTACAGCTCTGCTTGTCTCTGTGGTTTGAGGTTTCAATTTGCAACCCACCCTGCTATTTGACTTGCTTGTAGTATTTATTGCCCCAATTACAATTAAAAGCAGGGCTATGGGGAAGGAGTGACATTATTATGGTTGTCTTATTGGAGCAAAAAAAAAGTTTTTTACATACTGTAGGACCATGCAAAAGTGTGATAAACTCTGGGGGAATTATGCTATCTTTCCTATGCAAGCTCTTCTCTTTGCACTAATTGCACCAAGGTGAACCCCATGGAGGACATCATCACCTGGAGTCACATTTAAATTGATTATTAATATTCAAATTTATTTCTAATATTTATAATAATTTGGGGGGGAGGAAGTTATTGTGCCTACCACACAATATCGTGGTAACTACTGTATAAAGATATAGGAGGAGGCAGCTGCTTCCCTGAAGAACTTGCAGTCTAAGCAGAAAAGAGAGCCAAAGGGTAAAAGAGATAAGCATTGATCTACAAAATACTTGCAAATTTGGAGGAAAAAAAAAAAAAAAGAAAAAAGAATAAGCGTTCAATAATTTTGATGCATCACTCTAAAGTGCTACAAAGTGACAACATGAAAAATCATTCTGAAATGAAGGTCAAAGTGCTTTACTGTATTCTGTCAAAACCTCATCGTTTTGCAATGCTTCAGATTATAATACAAAATTAAAGGTTGACATTAAAATGTGAACTCGACTGCACTCCACCGAAGTGAAACATATTGATTGACTAGGAACAAAAAGCCAGACAGTCTTGCCATCTTCCTTTCAGATTTTGGAGGAAGCAGAGACATTTGGAAAAATTCAGAGAAATTTGACAGATCACCTTTTAACCTCAGAGGACTAAAAATACCTTCTGCAAAGGTGCATTTGCCATCTTTGCATTTTGGTTGGAGATGGAGACAGTGCCAAAATAGGGGCAGGATGGGGGCTATCGATGATCACCCAAGATGGACCTGGACAGGCTGGAACAAGGGGCTGAGATTTATATTTTCAGAATTCTCCTCGCATGCCCTTGCTTGTTAAGGATCAAAATACTGTGTTCATTTGCCTTCGGTCTGACACAATATTTTCTAGTGCCAAAGCAGAGCATCTTTTCCATACGCCCTCTTCTATCACTGTATTTATGTGCTCTTCCACGGAGCCAGAATCCTACCTAATACATTTAAAACAAGTTGAGGAGCTCAAGAGAAAGACAAGATAATATATATAAAAGGCAGGTGCACAGATTTTTACAGCCAATTCTTAAGAGTCACAAATGCTGCCAATCAAACTAATGCAAATCCACCATTTTATTCACAAGAAAGTTTGTCAAAGACATTTCATTATTACCATTCTYGGATAAATAAAGAGGGAAAAAATGTGTCATTAAAGCCTCATTTAAAGAAATGACAAAACAGACCATTTCAATTGCTTTCTGATGGTAGATTTTGACATGATAATGTGATATAAGAAAAGCTTTTTTTTTTTTTCTCTTCCAGACATACTTCTACCGCGTGTTCTTAAATGTTAAAAAAGAAGAAWAAAAAAAAAATCAAACAAACAGCTATAGTCTATATTCTTATTCATTTTACAAAATACCTATCTTATGTATGAGCCTCTTGTCAATATGGATTCATGTTTCAATTTATAAGGGATTCTTAAGCTCTCCAGGGAAAATAGTTTTTCACTTACTGTCAGACTATTTTTCCTAAGTCTTTTCTTTTTTTTTTTTTTTTGACACATTTCAAGATTGGTTTAAAAACAAAATTTCGGTTTAAGTTAGGTGATGAAATCCACAATTAGACAAGACAGGAACGAGCATTACTAAAACATTAYGCTGGAACTAACTCCCTAGAAAACAGGATTGCTGTTGTAAGATTATTTCATTTTATGTAGAATAGCAGATTTTGCGATGAAATTAAAGGACAATATAGAAGTTAACAGAAGGTCAGCTCTCCAGCTGTGCTCAGTTCTAAAGRCTGAGGTGATAGCTGACTTTTTTTGCATTTTTCTTTGATGTGAAACTTTTTTTTTTCCTAAACTTTCTTCCTATGTCTACATGCACTGTCACTCTGTTCAGCCATAATGCCATATCAACAGAAAAACAAATATGTAAAATAATATAATAAACATAACATATAAGTATACAGGAGCCAGACACTATTCCCAACCTTCACATATAGTGTCTAGTATTGGGAGATGTGTTATAGTATTGCCGTATTCCATTCCAACAATCCAGATTTTTAGCCTGTGGTACCATTATCAGCCCCGAGCATTGGATTTCTAAGGTGGCAGAAGTCTGCTGACTTCTAAAACACTTCCTAACATCCTCTCAGATAGATAGATTTTGGGACATAAGCTATTGCCTAGCACTTTGAATGGTTCAGAAAAGCTCCCCAAAGCACTCAMTCACTCCTGAAATGATCACTGTAATGTGTGATAAATATGCAGGGCTGGTAGTTGCAAATATAAAGAAGATCTATAGCACTAGGAAGAGAGGACACAGGGGTCCTCTTCTCCTCCAGTATGCAGAGCACCTTCTTTCCCTTAAAACAGGGAGTTCTCAGACCTTCCGATGAAATTGTTTGCATTAGTCTGGTTTTTGCTAGCTCAGCCCACATCATGGTCTGCTCTGATGGCAAGTACCCCACCAAGCTACACGTTAGGTAGCCCTAGGTATTTGTTACACCATAAATATGTCTAATATTCATCTGGTGTCAGCAATGAGTTTTGACTCTGTTGTCACCGTTTATGGTGACTCATTACCMCTGAATCACGGTTTGCCATGTCATTCACTAGTCACCATTAACACTGAAAASAAAACAGGGTATGGCCATCTAGAAAAAGTTAAGTAAACTCTATGCATTGCCTGATGAAGCAAATTTATTTTGCACTTTTTCCTTCACAACATTAGTAGACAATATGAAAAATTGCTCTGCATGTGCACCTAAGAGGGGTCAATCTGAAATTAAGAAGTGCTGAAATCCTGCATCATACCTGGCATCAAACACGTTTCAGGAACATCAGTTTTTCTGACCCGAGCACTTGATCCTTGGGAAGGGCTGGGCTGATATGTTGATTCAAATGTAATAGGTTAATCACCTCCAAATGGTAGGAGTTCATGTTGTAGCTTCACAGATCATGAAATGTGTCTGCTTAAGATATGAGGACATTATCTTTTTCTTTTTTTTTTTTTTCTCAGAAGGCACTATGTAACTGTGCTCATTTTATCTCTGCCTGTTTTACCTGCTCCGTGGTGCTCATTAGCGTGTTCATTCCGATCCAGGGACAAAGTCGATGTCTATTATGTAGAGAAGGGGGAAAAAAAAAAAGCATCATTTTCTTCTTGGAAATGTCTTTTTGCACTGCAAGTAAAACCGTGTAAACCCTCCTCCACTGCAGTCTAAATACTGCAGCTGATTAGCTGTCTGCTGCTGAGCTTTTTGCCAGTGTGCAGAGGAGAGCAAGAAGAAAATGTTCCTTAAGTTATTATAACAATATGAAAACTGAAAAGGCACATTATGGCATATTCCYCCCCCCCCCCCCCGTAATGAAACAGATTTTAAGTAAATATGTGTCACAGAAGGTAAATGAGAAGGCAGTGGTTTAAGAAGGTGCCCAAGAATGTGACTTGTGGCCGTGGCCCTCCCTGGGTATTTCAGCAGCTCCTCTGGAGGCAGCAGAGCTTGAGGGATGTAACCAAATGCAGTGCTGAGCTTTGCCAAGGGGCATGTTTTGACAGCTCAGTTACCCCTATTTGCCTTTCCCTTCTTCTTTTTTAACAGCTGGTTTGTTAAGCTTTAAAACGTGCTCTTTGGGGTGGGAAGGCCAAGCCTGGGAGCCTGCCCCTTCCTCAAGGTCCCGGGGTGGGACCGTGGAGTCGCTGTCACTTTGTCACTCTGTAAGGGGGAGAAAAAGGGAGCCTGGTCTCCCAAACCACCACAAAGACTCCGAGTTGGTCATCTGGGAACCCAGAATTTGTGAAACCCTTAGAGATTCAAATTTTGAAGGCACAGCAGGAGGGACAGATGCTTACTCCTTTTGGACAGGGGGTAACACAGCTTGGACAAGACCAGGGGAAGGGGAAAAAAGCCAAGGGTGAGAACTGGGTTTCCCAATACATTCCAAAGTGAGCAGGCAGCTCCTTTCTTCCAGCATCTCATTTGCGCCTAGGCTCTGCCTTGATGGAGGCACCACAGAAGGTGAACACGCAGAGAGGAAACAGCAACACATCACCCAGGATCTCCCACATGAATTATTGAAGCCATTTTAGTAAATAAATAATGTTTGTTCCTTACCTTTTACTCCGTGCCTTTCTTCCAACCCAACAATGAAAATGCCAAAATTGCACTGCTCTATCTGCTCATGGCCCCACGTCCAGCAGGTTGGSATGAGGCTCATTTAAGAAAGATCTTTCTTCTCAACACCTGCCCCAGCACCTGTTTTTCCTATAAAATGTTCCTTTAAAAAGAAAATAAAGAGGTTATGAATATAATGGCTATGCTATCTGATTTGCTGAACACCAGATATTCATCCACGGCAGTAGACACTTTTCCCAAGCCACCACCTCCAACAATCACTCAAAAYTGGAGTAATGTAAATATTACGTCTGGCTCTAGTTTGAAGGCAGCGAGCTCACTGCATTCACTGAAGTGCAGCCTTCCCAAAAGGAGCATCTGGCAGCTGAGAAAGCCGAGCTGGTGGCTGAGGCACGTTGAGGAACACGCTGAGAGGAAGAGATGGGTGGGAGGGAGGACAGACGGAGGAGACACTGCTGAGTTACCCTGCTTCTTGTTTCGTCTTTCTTGTCTCAAGGTGAGACATAATGCCATTCGTTATATTTACTCTAAATTTGCTCACAACATGTCCTTTTGTTGTTTTTACTCTAATATGACCATTGACAATGTAGTCATCTTTGTACTTAAAAACAATCAGAAAACCCAATTTAAAAAAAAAWGTCAAGTTCACAAATGATCAGATTAGAAGGTTGGGGTTGTTTTTCTGTGACAATAACTGCTCCACACTTCAAGCTTCCTAAATTTTKACTTTTTTTTCAGATGAATTCAAATTGTTTATGAAGAGGCTGCCCATGAACTACTTCCTCAACACGTCGGCCGTCATGCATTTGTGGACTATGGACTCCAACTTCCAGCGGCGCTACGAGCAGCTAGAGACCAGCATGAGGCAGCTCTTCCTCAAGGCGCAGAAGATTGTCCACAAGCTCTTCGGCCTCAGCAAGAGATGCCACAAACAACCGCTCATCCGCATGCCAAGGCAGAGGTAAGGAAGGCTGTGGAAGCCTTCAGGGCATARATGGGGTCATATGCAGCGTATATAGGCTGTGTAGAGCACTCTACACTTGTTGTAGTTATATCACCACAGTCTTCAGGGCTGTTCTGCTCATGGTWTCTTAAATGGGTTGGGAAAGATTAAAACAAGACCTGATTTATGCCTCATGGTGGATTACGAGCAGCAACTCAGATGCAGCATGAGCATTTACACTCAAGCCTTGCTTAGTCTGCCCCTCTTTTGCAGAATTGTATTTTCTGMGGAGCTTGGCCAACGGCCACGTGCCAATTAGCTGCATGCAGAATACTGAGTACCTATTTGGAAGCAAGCGTGGCTATTTTAAGAACTTTCCAGGTCATTATACAGTATATACAACATGCTATTGATTGCTTGTCGCACTTGTCAGATCCGAATTAAATTTGAAAAGATGCCTTAGGAAAGAGAAGAGTTTTCGCCCTGCCTCGAAACAGAGCGATCCTGCAAAGCAGCTCGTTGTGTCTCTGTTAACATAACGTGATTGCTGTTGATTGTGCTTTGAATTTGTTTTGTGTAGAAATGCCTATGATTGTGAAGATTTTCTTGTGATCTCAGGGGTTCAATCCGGGCACTCTTGAATTTAGCAGGTATTTCTGCAGACTTTAAGGAAACCTAATTTAGGTTGAGCATTCCACAAGTGCCAGGAGTACTTTAATCTGCCTTTCCTCCAGCTTTGCTGTTACAAGCTAAGGCACTGTGAATTTTGGCACTTTCTCCATTAGAAGGATATAGTCTTTCCTGCTTTGCTTTTCATACATCCCATTCTGCTTTGTGATCTGCTAGTTTCTAAATTCTAGATTTCTACACTCGTTTGGGTCAGTGCTCGGGCCCTGCTGTTGAGAACCGGGGGGAATTTTATTATGGAAAGAGATCCTTATAGTGTTATTAGAGAGAGAAATGCTGCTGTCGGTTGCATTTAGTGGCACTTTTCTGCTCAGATAGAATTAAAGAACCTAAGATTCATTTTRTAGCAAGGGCCATGGTGTTGGCAGTGAGCCCAACACGTGCTAATCTTGCACTGTATCTCACAAGTCACTAGTTCTACAGACAGGATTTTTCAAGGGAACAGTTAAAACTGAGAGTTTTTTAGGAGACAGGGGTGACAGTATCCAAAAGTTGACTGGAATTCAGGAAAGCTTCCTGTGAGATGGGATGTTACAGGGATTTGTCCATGTGGGCTGTCAGGAATGGTGCTGTCACMCCTCAAGGAGCTCCTATACGCAGACAAGGTTATAATTTGTTACTGAAACTACCTGTCTCTTTTCTCTGGCCTCGGAAGTTTGTCACTGAACACAAAACAAATAACCGCTGCCTTTTTAGAATGGGGGCTCAATTAAACAGCCAAGCAGAATTGCCTGGGAATYCTTCCAGATTTCCCAGAGAGGGGATCCAAGCCACTTAATAGTCATAGGAATAAATTACATTTAATACTTTCCTAATCCTTGAACCAAAATGGCACTGAATGCTCGCCTAGCATCCTTATCCTTAGTAGAAAAATCTGTATCAACTTGCAAGTTAAAGAAACTACATCCCCACATCTCCTTCTTAAACACAGTTTATATTGTTCAACTAGAAGAATGAACAAATAGTTTTCTTTCAGTTCACCCTAGCGCTCAGAACAATGTCTTATTTACTGCAGCACTTCAGYACACACTGGGGATGGGAACAGGATCCCTATTTTTATTTTCTTCGGTTCGCTGCAAATCTTTTCACGATCCAGATGTTCTTCCCAGATTTTCAGCTTTCTTTCACGGACATGAAACGGCCTATTCTTCCCTTCCCCAAAAGTCAAATTGTGCCAAGATACATCAAAAGTCCGTAGATTTTAATAATAAAGTGTTACAGCGGTGTTCAGCACAACTTTAAAAAGTCACCTGAATTTCTCAATAGACTTTCTGTAAGCAGGGAAATATTTACTGGCTGTCTGTTTTCCAAAGAAATGATGGACCAAAAATGCAAAAGCAGCAAGAAACACAGAAATCCCTATGGATAATCTGTTGCCTTGTTGCATGTAGCAGCAACAAAATGATAGAGCTTTTCACTGCTGGTAATAAAGAGGGGAAAAAAAAAAAAAAAAGACAAAGCCTGAGCTCTCAATACTAATTTTTCCTCATCTTTTTTAGTAAGCTGTTTGTGGGGAACAAAAATTAGCCAGCAAATGAGTTCTCTGACACTGTGGGATCTGCAAAGCATATTGGCTAATATCCCATATATTGGCTCAAGGTGTCTTTCCAATGGGCAGTGATCCTGGTATTAATAAATCAGCTAAAGATTTAAGCCTTATTCTTTGGTACTAGTGGCCACACAGACAAGCAGGGGATGAGCAAGAAAGGAAGAGCTGGATATGGTTGGGGTTTTGCCCATCAAATGAGAAAAATCCTTTTCCTCTGGTCAAAACTACTGAAGAGTATTAAAATCTGATTAACAAAAATGAGAAAACCACGAGACCACTGCTAAAGAGTTAAAATACATATATTATATATATATATATATATAAAGCTAAAGAGTTAAAATACATATATAAATATAAATTATATATATAAATTGTGATGGAGGAGAAAGAGCCTGCACCTTGCTGTATATTGTCCTGCAAGTACGGCTATGATTTCCTATATATGGATTTAATGCCCAAACGCTGAGTTACCTTGAACGTGGGGAGCATCTTCAGCTCATTCCTTACAAAGTGATGGCTTAGGCACTTAGTTTCCTCCTTTTTCTGCACCAYGCAGATTGTTTCCTTGGCTGACGTTATCCATTTGACTTGGTGCAGGACGGGTCTGCTCTCCGTACAAGCTGCATCTGCATGCAATTTAAATCACTTGGTAATGAAAAGGCGTCAGCCGAGGCCAAATTTAAGCAGCACAGTTGGTGACTGAATGAAGGCCTAAACAAAATATTAAGAAAGAGAAACACAATGTGAACACAGCAATAAACTGGTGGAATAAATTACGTCTTCCTTGGCGCTTTAACAAAATGGAAATCGGCGGCAGCGAAGCGCGACTGAGGAATAACAAACCATTCAAGTAAATAAGAATTTTAATTTTAAAAGTCATGTAGCGCATTTGCACACAAAAGCATGCAATCTCAATGAAAGTGTCAGGATTTGAACTTTTCAAAGGACTGAATGTCTAATATTACCATACAGTTTATGGCAAGTGGCTAAGGCGCTTCGGGCCACATGACAAAGCAGAAAAGAAAAGTGGATATCAGAGCAAGCCTGTGTTACACACACACGTGTGTGTGTGTGTATATATATATGTATATATATATGTATATATATATATATGTATATATATATATACACACACACACACACACACACGTGCGCACATATACATATATATACAAGTCTGCGTTTATATATATATAAAGTCTAGGCAGGCCACAGACTTTCTCAAGCATCTGACTGTAAGCAGAAAACAAATACAAACTATAATATTTAAAGAGTTTTAAAAGCATTGTAGCCAATAAATCTTTTCTGCAAAGAGAAATCCCTTCCTACCAGCCTGATGTTTCAACCATGCCAGTCCCTTCCTAACAGAATTCCCTAGGAAAAACACTGGGCCGGTGGACAGCTGCACCAGRTGTAGGATTTGTAGAAATAATTCTGTTTTTTGAGGACAGAAATATCTATGGAGCTTCCTATGGATAGTTGTAAAAGGAAGAAGAGCTGCACATTTGCATTTTTTACCCTTTTCTCTTTCTTTTTTTCATGAATTTTACTGAGCAAAAAGCCCAGGTTGGACAAAGGGGGCAACAGGACTTAAATACAATAAAATCACATCAGTGAAGGCGCTTGCACCTTAGTCTCCTCTGAGATCCACACACAGAAAAACAGATTTAAGAAAGCTGATTCATTTTCTARGATGATCTTTTCCAGGCCACATCTGTGGCACTGGATGTAAGGAAAAGAACATCCAACTGCACCTCACCTTGCAGACTGCAGGAATGAGGGAAACCAGYGAGTCTAGATGAAAATTCAATTGTAGTAAGAGAGGATAAAGAAGCAAAAGTTCCCTTGCATGGACTGGGACTGAAGTATACGGTGCTCCTTAACAAGAGCTATTAAAAAAAGCAGCATCTGTTCTTTGTTTTTTAGGAAATAACACWCCTTTTTAATATACAACGCATCACAGCCACGCATCTAAATAAAAATTGYTTGAAGAATGAACAAAGAAAAATGCCCCAAGATTGCAGGTCATTTTGAATGGTCTGGGCTGCTGCATGTGGGACTTAAAACCAAGGTGGTAAATGTGACTAAAGGGCCCTCCTGAAGCAGCAACTTTGATTTGTTCTCAGTGCCAGGTGCCCGGCTGAACGCTGCGTGCTGCCCGAAAGGCAGGCGAGCAGATGAAAGGGTGGGAGATAAAAATGAAGGTCAGTTTGGTGGCGGCTGCTTTGCAAAACTGAATAATAAGTCGCTGGCTTTCCTCAAAGGAAATCGAATAATCCACTTTGAGGTGATACCTTTAATTGGACTGGAGATTAGAGTTATTTAAAGCTAACGTGACAGACATCAAAATATGTTAGGCTTRCTTGCAAATAACRAGTCTGATAGCAAAACTAAAATAAACTCTCGGGTATAGGTGTGTTTTCACACATATGTCACTAGCCATATGTACTTAAGAGCAGACTTTTCTCAGTGTCTGTCATCATTATAAGTTTTCTCTCCAGGAATTTTGGTTTTTCTCATGTTGCAACATTTTATTACACCCTCAGAGAGGCTCCAGCCACCTCATAGCTCCACTTTTGAGCTTTTTGATTAACAGCAACATTAGAACAGAGCAACTTCAGCTCGATGCCTTCTGGATGCCCGTTTCCATGCCTGCCTTGTGGACTGCAGCCACCTCTCCTCTGCTAATGCTTTGCCCTTTTAAAGTACAGGCTATTTGCCAGGGCAAGAATACTCTAATGCTAGTTAATGCTTTAGATTTGAGTCAGATTTAAGTCATCAGATTTGAGTATAGCTGCTTGCCGAACAAGGTGTAATACAACTTCAGGGGACCAAATTAAAGCTCATTTCTTAGGCAGCATCTGAAAGGAGTTACAGCTAAGTACTCTTGATGGGCTTTCAGACCTCAGTATCTTGGGCAACAGCCCCAAGGTGGCAGCATCCAGAAGTGCAAAGGCAGAAGATGGTTCAAGGAAGATGGATGGACACAATGAGAGTTTCAGTGTCCATCTCTTTCTTGCAAGTTCTTCTCTATGGGCAGCAGGGCCCTAGGAACAGAAACCCCAAACTCTTTTGGAAGACAAATTTCCTCTCTACAGTTCTAGTTTGAAGAAGAGGAGAGCCAGGCTCTAATTTCTCTTTACTTTCACCAAACAGTATCCACCTTACCTTCATTCTACAGTTCTACTAACATCTTTTCCAGATTCCTTCATGTCTTCAATCCTAATGCCCAAGCTTCCATTTGTCCTCCAGACAAATTTGGCAATGCAGTTGGTGCAGTTAGTACTGGAGCCTGAAAATATAAAGACAATAAAAGAGGCAAGTTGAAATAAAATTTTACATGTATACATGCACATACATACATATATATAAATATATGTACCCACACACCACACATATACACAGTATCAAAAAAGAATGGAACATCATTTGGCCCATTTGCTCCTCAGTGGAGATCCAGGGTACTGAGGGATTTGCTCTTGGCCTTCTGGTTTTGATTGTGACCACACTGCTGTAAAGGACCTTCCCTCAGGGCAAATTCAAGCTATATTCATTGCCGAGCTACATGAATTACTTGCAGGGACAGCACCAGAGCCAACACTGTGGGGACTCACAAGGTTTAAAATTTAACTACCTGACATGTGGACATCTTGGCACATTTCCCTAGGCTTGGCAGCTTCTGTTTGCTTTTGGGCTGATGTGCATCTGCCTTTGTGTTCATGACATGACATGACGGCCTAGATCCTTTCTAGATGGTCCCCACATATACATCTATGATGGTCCTAACAACAATAACCCGACAAGTTGAACTTGAGGCTAGCTGAGGACACAGTCATTGCATGGATCTTGGCGTGTCCTMCACTCCAGGCTGCTCCCAAGTCCAGATTTCACCTCCAGAATGAGAAGACATTTGAACAACACTTTATCTGATTCAGAATAGCATAAAATCTACCAAGCAGGCACGTCTTTTATAATCCATCAGCTATTAAGTGAGAGGAAGGAGACCTAAAAATGGGCAAGAAGCTCCTTGACGTTCGTTCTCYAGCACTGGAGAATGGTCTGTGCTGTTGGAAGCTGGAATGTGCCTCCCCGTGGGAAGGGCAGCATTAATGCAAAGCACAAGGAAAGCCTGGACGTGCCTGCAGCACGGAAGGGAAGGTGAAGGTCGACGTTGARGGCAGGGGAGGAATATTGCCATGCATGTCCATGTTCCAGGCAAAACCCTTCACTGCTCTGATGCCTTGCATTGACAGCGAGGTCGCTGCTTGTCAGGTCATGTCTGTCAAAGCTCTGAGAGGAGGCTTTTCTAGCCTGTTTTCCTYCTTTTTTCATGAATCAGAAAATCTTCTCAATTAAGCAAGTCAAACCCCTGTGATATATGCATTGACATAGATACAGACTTCCAAGTGTCTTCTATTTCCCACCTGTGTCAAGTCATATGCTCTAATAGCTCACGCAGAAAGAGAAGTATTAGAGCTTCAAGGGGACATTAAACGCTAGAATTTAGTCTTCTAAGGATTTTGCCTCAGGTCATCTTAGCTAAAGACACATTATATCCTTGTCTTCGGATTAATTTGAAAATTGGATAGCTTCAGTCCCATGGATGGTGGAATTYCCAATTTTTTCATTTTGAAAAACAGATGTAAAAAACACTTCAAGTCTGACTATGGATCACTCATATTCTCTTGTTTCTATTCTTTTGTTATTGTTTTTTAATGATGCTCTGAGGTTAACATGCAGACTATACCAATTCTGTCTTCTCTTACATTCTTCCAAATGACAGTTATGAGAACAAATTTCCTATCTGGCCCACATGGACAGATATAACTATAGATAAAATTCATCAACACCAGCCATTTGTTACTATCTCCTTCTGCAAGTGGGGAAAAACAAGAAATCAGTTCAAATTTACTGTTAAAGGCTATTTTTACATGTCTTCTAAAGTTTGTCACTCTTCCCCCTTTATTAACTGCAATATCTTTTATTAGCCCCCCTCCCCCCAAAAATATGGACATTTTTGGCCTAATATTTTCTCCATATTTTCTTATTCACTGTTCATGAGAATAGAATAATAAAAAAGATGAAATAAGAAGAATATTGAAGCAGTAGGAAGAGATGGGAGATGTCCAAGTTCTCTGAAATCAAACTAYGTAAGAATATAGTTTGCGCACAATTGCTATGGATACTCTTAAAAGTAGATTCATTTATGGCAGGGAAGACTAGGGAAAACAAAAGTGTTATTGATTCMTTTTTTTGCAATCAAGAAAACAAAAAGAAAAGGACGAAGGATTATCTCATGCCATGCCTGCTGTGAGATAATACCTGCAGAGAAAAAAAATGGTCCTATTCTAACTATTTATAACGTGGATCTTTTAGCATCTCAAAAAGATACTCCAGGTACTAAATAGGCATCAGATTATCATCTCTTACTCTGGGGAATATTAGACTTTTAAAACTTCACATGCTTGGGGTGATGCAGAAGTCCACTCTACCAGCCTTACAGAGGCTGACCAAGTTGTCCTCACCTGGAGTAGCAACATTTGCTCCTACAACCACTTACCAAACAAAAAGCAGACGATTCAGTGACAGATGGTACCATGCATGTTGATAGTCCAAAGARCTCATTATCCGATTCACACACCAAGTGGGGTGCCAGGCAAATGCCATGAGAATTAAAAATCGCGTCCTCAGAACTGATCTGTTTCGTATAATTCTGGAAAACAAAGGAAAGCAAAACGTATTTTTTCTTTATTATCAAYACTTCTTTGCTTACTCTTTTGTGGTAGATGGCAGCACTTGGGGATGTTTTCCCCGCTATTTCCAGATATTTGTATTATTTTGGAAAGGCACCATAAAATACCACCGAGAATGACCATAATACACAGTGCTATCAATAGAATTCCTTTTATTTAAAAAAGAAAAAAAAAAATCTATTTGACAGTCTTTTTTTAGGGAACAGAAAAGCTTCAGGCTGAGGTAAAGGAAATGAAGTTGTAGTTCATCAGCAAGCAAAGCAGATCATGGCCTTAAAACAACTATGAAAATGAAAGCAAGGTTTCTCTATCAGGTTTTCTTCCTCCACATTTACAGTTTGACCAGTGCCTCAAAGCTATACAGTAGTCTCCATATCCTCAAACGGAATATACACAGATGAAAAAGCCAAATAATCAGATGTCTGTGTCATCTTGACCGTCAATCCTCCCACGAAGGAGATGGCAGAGAGGGTTTTCACAGGAAAGTCTCAATTCAGGAGAGCAGATAACAGAGATATCACACTGTGGCATTGCCTGGTCTCGGTCTCAGATCCCAGGCTAGAAGGCAAGGGGACATCTTGTCCGTTTGCCCCCTTCTGTGCTTGTTGAAGTCCGAGGCAGATTAAAGACATATAGTCAGCTGCATAGTCTAAAATTGACCTCAAACATTAAAAAAATCCCTCAAATAGCAGATGAGACAAAATAGCTGCAGAAGGCACYGATTCCAGTTCATTTGCCAGGAAATTATCCTAGTCATAGTATCATTAGTTTTCCAGAAACCCACAACGGAACCACAGTTGATGAGTATTGAGTAAAGACCTCATGTAACTCAAGGAGCAATTTTGATTTAACCTATAGTTTAGCCACAAGCACCTTTTCTTGGCTTGTTTTTCAAGAATGAATGGATTTCTAAATTTGTGCGTTCAAAACTCAAGCAGTAATAAAGAAACTCTCTGCAGCAAGTCTCAAATCTTGCCCCAGTGTTAAAAGTAGCATGTCTGCCATAAAAGTGATCTTCTATAGGCTTTAGTTAAAAACGTAAGTATTTTTCAGTCCTTCTTTTCTTTGGATTCTTGCTTATACAGATACTTAGATAAATTCTGCCCATGTGAGAAGAAGAATACTATCACATGTTCAAACCAGTCTCTGCTCAGTTCACAAAAGCAGAGCAAAAGTCAGGATTTGTTGCACTTGTTAGAAGTCTAGTGTATGTCTTTGTATTTAGAAAGAGCTAGGGTTTAAAAAAGTAAAAAATAAAAATAGATTCTCTCCTGAATAACTGACCCCTAAAATCTCCCTCAATCCTTCTTAGGCTGAGTTCATTTTTCTCTCTAAATCCTTACTCCCTTATTTAAAAGTATGAGAATTGCAATACAACTTGAAATCAGGGTCATTACCTATATTTATTATTATAACTACTACTATTATTACTATTATTTTTCTCAAAATTTAGAAACTGTTTCTCAGATAGAATTAGGCAGAGTCTCCAGTTGATCTTAAAAGAACCCAACAGCCATCATGCCCTTGAAGCACTGCATAAAATATTTCATACCTTTTTGGACAATGTTGCCTTAATTTGGAAAAAATATATATACATAGGGACAATAACAGATGATTTTTTTAATGTAAGTTGAAAGCTTACCATCTGTGTAGACTGCTTCCTCACTATAGTATCTGCAGAAAACAGTACTGGTTTAAGTCCAGTCCACAGCTCAATGGGTCTTGCCACCAGTCTGAAGTTGTTCAATATTAGGTGATTTTTTCATTTTGGAGCCAACCATCTGCTGCATGTGCAGAATCCTTCTCTACATGCATCTGCCTTGGGATGTGCCGGATGGGGCCACATTTTCCTCAAGGATTAAGAGATGAGGAGAGATTTGGAAAAGTCAGGGTCCTCAGCTCTGAATGGTGGAATTGGACGAACAGGTTTCCAGGCATGAATATTTAAGAGGAAGTCTATACAAAATATCGGCATCTGTGCTTCTAAGCGTGCCGGCAACTTGGGATTGGATCAACTTCAAAGATAAAAATAGAGCCTCTGTCTGTGAAAGGCAACATTTCTCCATGCTGAATAGAGACCAGTGTCCTGGTGGAGAGGACTGAACCACTATAAAGAAGACTTCTACAAGAGGCACCTGCGAATCTTGGCAAATAATGATTCCAGAGCCAGTTTCGTCCATTTTTTTCTTCTTTTTTTTTTTTTTCTTCCTTGCTGAATAGCAGACAGTCATCTGGTTATAGAGCTCCATAGATAAACGCACATGAATGGAGCCATGCAGCTCCAAAGTAGATGACCTTGCAGGCCTTACAGCCTGTGGGACTGTATACTGATCCAATCACTCAACTGTATTTTACCAAGCCCCCCCTCCTTTAGCCTATTCCATTGTCAAAGTTTGCAAGAGCATTYACTATATGTTTTCCACTTCAGAGTGGAGGTAAAACAGAAGTTCTGGGCTTTTTGCATATGTGCAATTCCTGTAATTTCTACCTCATTTTGAGTTCCAAGGCCTACCCTTRATGGCAAACAGCAGCAGCAATGCATTTACATCTTGCAATATTTGTGTGCAACAGTCCCTCACCACAGACCAGAGGATACCCAGTGAAACCAAATACACACCTCGGGACGTGGAAATTGATAGTCGTGCAGAGACRTTGGTGGAAATGTGATAAGTGAGATGAATAGGAAGCTTTGCAAAAATYTGGCAATCTCTGCAAAAAACTAAAAAACTCCTTCCCAGCTGTCAAATGAAAATCTGTTGCACACACAAGTTAAAAATAAAATTCTAAAATTCTGCTTAAAAAAAAAAAAAAAAATCAGGAGTTTACACCTACCTCCTCCAGGAATTTTATAAAACTGTCCTGACTTGCAGCGGTGGCTTTTCCAAGTCTGGTGGCTTTGTGGGATCTTGGGACTAYCCCCTAAGAGGGTTTCACATGGATTCAGTGTTCCCAGTTTTCAACCATTTCTGATCTTTGCTCTTGCCTTGACCAGCAAGTATCAAACTAGAGCTCACAGTAACCATTAGATGAAAAATAACCAGTTCCCACAATTTCCTCTCCTTTTGACCTTTATACATATTCCTTTTTTGATTGGGACTCGGCTGCTTGATCAGAATTCCTCAGTGCTGCCCGCGGTAGGAARGACGTGAGCGGTTCTGAGTATTTCCAGGTGTTTCAACTCTTACATCTGCAATCCCCCACGGACATGAATAAGATTTTGCCTTCTTTTAAGGGCAACTGCAGTTTAGTGCTAGGTCATTCTGCATTCTGTATATTCATTCTGCATGTTTTCAATATAAAAAGTTATTATGCATSTATTCAGTCTTTACATCTCTAAACAATCTAATAACACCTTTCCTTGCAATGATATATTATTGCTATTTGTATCCCAGAATCCTGAAGCAAAAGAAAGGATTTCAGATAATCTGCAAATAAAAATAATACCTGAACTTAATCCTTAATGTGACTAGCGCTTTGAAAGTAAGCAAGTGCCTAGAGTTCTAGGTGGATCTACACCCCTGATACCAGCACGCTGCTGAATTAGCATTTCCACTGGAGCAGAGGAAAAGATTGAGTGCCTAATTTCTTGGGGAGGTAGCTTTTAAAATGCAGTTWCTGCTACTATCGAGGTACCCGAGTGGTGAACCACACTTTTAAGCAGCAAAGTAAAGGTGATTGTGATTAATGGGATGGTGCTACCCATAATAGCACAGCTGGGGATTATGTTATTTCATATTCATCTTCCAAACTCCCATAAAAGCAGATTATTGGAGTATAGCCCTTCTCAATAGTTAAAAGATGATTGGAGTCTTAACAGCTCCCATGGTCTAATGGAAGGAAGTCTTCTGCTTAGTCTAACTCACCCTTCAAGGAGGAGATTCTGGAGGACTCTGCATAAAACACTCTTCAATAAGGCAAGGGGTGACAATAGCAGCACATAAAACATACCCAGTTTGGGTCAGTGCAGAAGATACCAATTGATAAACTCCTTTATTTTACTGATTGCCCAAATGAAGCTCTCTTTTTTTTTTTTTTTAAATAATGTGGTATTTTCCTTGGTTAAAAGCTTTKATTATATTTGATCACCTGATTGACAGGGAAAGATACCTCTTATTACTCAGATTCTCCCTCATTCCTCTTCCTGTTATGGGGAAGGAGATACAGTATAATTTCCTCATTAATATTAGCTCTTTCTTTTCATTAACTTCATCTGTCCGTGGTGAAACGGATGTGGGCTGATTTCTGCAGCARCAATTGTACCAATCTGCAGCAGAACAGCCTGGCAGCTTTCAGATACAGACACAAAGGAAATTAATAGAAGAAATCAAAACTTCCTGAAATTCATTTACACAAATAAACCTCCCCTAGCTGAATTTTAACTTTTTTTCCCCTCCTTTTCTTCATTTAACAGAATAATAATGTTAAATACACATTTCTGAACTGTTTGTTCCTCAGTACATTGTTAAAGGCTGGAACCTGCTGTTGACATGGGCTCAGATACTACTTTCTTGTAATCATTTTTAATTTCTTACAGACAAAATAAGCTGTCAGTAGATGAAGAACATTAAGCCTAATTCTAATATTGCATTTTTCTGCAGTAAATCAACTCTTTTTCTTTTTTTTTTTTCCAGCTATTTACAAGTAAATCCCATGTCTTAGGTTGCTGCATTTCTTTGCCTGGTTACAGGCAACAACTGTGTGCAGCAAAACACTGCCCATGGTTGTTAATAATTTTTATATATTCCTGCTGGGTGGCTTCTGCAAGAGCTTCCAAGCATGGGCCCTGCTAGGAGAAGCTTAAGTTTAGTAAGAAATATTTTGGCGAGTCAGAAAGAAATCAGGAAGAACAGCTGATTTTTTACCACTTTTCCTGGTAATAATCAGGAGTAACGCCGAGTTATTAACCTCAGCAGCAACAACTCCCTGCACGATGTACCAACCAAGCACGTATTAACCAAAGTTGTGTTCTCCAGTTAAAAAGCTCTCTGGGCTCTTATGCTTGAAAAGACCCGTCTAAACAATAGTTTCCATTCCAGTTGCTCGGTTCCTGGCGCGGCGCTYGGAGAAGCGTCCCTAACCGACCGTGAAAAYGGGATTCTCCTCAAGGAACGTGCCYTCCTCCAAGGGCTCAGCCTGGCAGGCTGAGCTTGGCCCAAAGGCACCGCTCGCAAAGAGGCRAGTGGGACAACGAGGCTGGTTTCGCAGCACAAATGAGATAAATGAAACGGTTACAAGTCAGTGGTGGCCAGGGATAGGACAAGGGCAATGRGTGTAAGTTGAAACACAGCRAGTTCCAGCTGCATGYGAGGAAGAACTTTACTGTGAGGGTGCCAGARCCCTGRAACAGGCTGCCCAGGGAGGCTGTGGAGTCTCCTTCTCTGGAGGTCTCCAAACCCAACTGGACACCACATGCTCTGGGTGTCCCTGCTAGAGCAGGGGGCTGGACTAGGTGATCTCTAGAGGTCCCTTCCAACCTCAACCATCCTGGAATTCTGTGAAGTCCCAGAGCCATGACCACTCCGGCACTGCTTTTCCCCTTCCAAGGATCCCGCCTCCTAACTAGATTTGTGCCTACTGGAGAGCCCCTCTGTGCTCCAACATCATGATGCTTTTCATTTAATTCTTTTCCCCATCTAAAACTCTCACCTTTCAAATTATTTATGGAGCAGAAAATCCGTCGGATGTTTCTTCCTTTCCCTTTGAGCATCCTGCTCATTATCAGCATCATCCTTGCAGAGAGATTTTTGATTTTTCCTGTTATCTTTTGCAGCGTGCAAAGCRCAGAGCAGAACTTTTAAGTTGCCCAAACATTTACGTGGGAATTAGGGAACAAAAGAAAATATAAGTGATAAACTCGGCTCCGCAAGGGAACGGAGTTGCTGCCTGGCAATGCTGCGGAAAATTGGAGCGTTAGTTCTGTCTCTCTGCAGATTTTTTTTGATATTTAATGGAGTRGTCCATGGAAAGCAGAAGTAGTGCCAGCTCATACAAACAGAGCACTTTTAAGATGAATAAAAAAGAAGCTCTAGAATTGACTGCACCTCAGAAGGAATAGACTAAGTTTGAGAGAGAGAGGAAAATGGAAATAATTTTTTCCCAAGTAATTATCCCCACCTCCAATTTAATTTTTTTTCTTTTTTTACTTGAACCATCCATACATTTCACTTTGTGTGGATGCAAGGTGGCTATCAGAGCCTGTTTATTATTTTTTTTAAACCATGCACTTTGTAAAAGTCCTCAATCTAATTCAAAAAGCAGTTGCCACCCAAAGCCTGCTGGAAGAAGAAGGATACACTAGAGATAATGCCTTAATTCTGCAAGCTTTTGGACCCATCTTACCTGACTGCTTGGAAAATTAGGTGGTCTTCTAGTGCCTAAYACCTCCCTTATTTCTGGAGCGGAGTGTGGTGCAGGTATTTCTTGCAAGGGTTTAAGCAGCCATACATGGGCAGGCGGTCCAAGCAAAAATTCAGTCCTATAAAAAAAATATAATAATCATTGAAATGGTTTCCATAGAAACTAACAGCAGACCGTGGAAGCTGCTGGAGAGCTTTAGAAGAATTAAATCAAGTTATATTTGAATAAATACAGACCGCATGCAACATGCTGCAGTTTGCAAGCGGATGATGGCATTCTTTTTTTAATATTTTAAACAACCTTTAGCTTGGCATGCGATTTCTAACAGAGTTTCAATCAAGCAAGTCTGGAAGCTGTGGAGTTGAACTCTCTTCTGCTTTCTGATAATGTCAATGCCAGGTGTCTTCATGCTTGTTCTTCATGAAGTCATGGGTCATTTTTTAACCACAAATGCAAGAGAAAGGAAAATCATGTTTGCTGAGCACTGCCAAGAAGAGGAGGATCATTTAATTCACTACAAAGTGAGGGCAGAGTAGAGCTTTTCCTTAGAATTTCTTTATTTTTTAAGCTCATCYACTTCAGCAGGATCTCTTAGCATCTATCTTTCCCCACCAGAAATTCAAAATTATAACTACAGTTTTAAGGGACAGCAYGGGCTTTTCACATATATAAACCCAAAGCCTCCTGGAGACTTTATTAATAATAAAGGCTTTGGTATCCCACACATCCAATGATATTATAGTGCTATTAAAAATAACTGCGTTAAGAAGGCTAAAAACGTTTTAAGGCATGTGCTGTTGTCAGCTACGARATGTTATCCACATATTTTCACTTGTCAGAAGAATACATTCATTAGTGGATTTTTYCCCCCTGCAAAGAAATATAGTTGGCTCCAATCTGGTTTGGGTTATTAATATTAACTTTTAAAAAGTCCCTATACAAGACAAGACTCTTAAATTAATTCTTTTCAGGAGCAACATGCTAGTTTCACTAAAGAGGTCATTTAAGAAGATTTTTTTATTATAATCCAAGTATGTATATTTATTATGTATTATATCAAGGTTATATTCTCCTGAAGAAGAACCTGTCTGCCCATAAAGACCTTGTGTCTAAAACTTTGAGATTATGATCAAAATTTAATTATTCTCAGTTATTTTTAGTACTAAYATAAAATGAAGTAAAAAAAGGCGCACTGAGGTTGGAGTCTGATTTTACCTATTATTTTTTTTTTAAATAGCAAAAAACAAGCTGTGAATACAGACCTGAGTTCTTCATTCTTTAATTAAAATCATCACTCTTCACTGGGTGATCCTGGCTTCAGTGCAGTGATTTTGATGCCACACAATGGAAACAAATGACATGTTACTGCCATTAATATTACAGTAACATATRGAGGTCCCAGCATCTATAATCCAAACAGAGTGGTGAGGAAAAAGAAGATAATTGTGAGTGGGCCTAGGAGCACGAGGCTCGCTTCTTTCTGTAGGTCATTACTCAGTACTTGCCTTCTGCAAGACCCTCGACCCTTTGACCAACTGTTTCCCATTCCTTCGTTCATCTCTACCTCTGTGCTGTGGGTGGATGGAGGTGGAGCCAAGAGCCCCCAGCTGTGGCTGCTCAAGCCACATCAACACCAATCTGCTGTCAATGAATCCAGGTGCAGGGAGGGAGGCTTGTTCCCACTTCCACCTTGGCAAGTTTTATGCTACCTCTTTGGTTTGCTCAATTGAGGAAAAAGATGCTAATCTCACCACCAGTTTGTTCGTTATTTTTCTAAGATCTTAAGRAGATGGATCAAATTGGTGGCACTGAAGTACCTAAATAAGTTCACAGATTCATTGTGGTWGGAAAAGACCTTCAGGATCCTCAAGTCCAGCTGTAAACCCATCACCACCATGCCTGCTAAACCACGTCCCCAAGTCCCTCCTCTACACATTTCTTGAACGCTGCCAGGGAGTTCACCACTTCTTCCTTGAGCAGCCTGTTCCCAGTCTTGACTACAGTTTTTTTGCTTTATAATTGTAATTTGACACACACCTGGAAAGGCCCACTGAARTAATAGGTGGCCCAAGATGATGCACGTATGTCTAGCATATTCATTTTCACTTTTTTCATTCTCTTCAATTCATTCTCTTTAAAATGATCTACCACTTTAAACACTCATACAAATCCATAACAGCTGAATTGTTTTAAAAAGAATAGAGATTATATAGCTCTTTATTATTATTTTTAGTAGCATCTCCCTTCCTTCTGTACATGACACTCATTTTCTCAACACCTATAACTGCTCTTTTATTCTGCTTTTGACACTGTTATTTCATTTGGCCCTTAGCCCCCTTGTCCCTGCTGCGCTAGGGATCACTATCCAGTAAAAGCTTTCAAAGTTTATCTCTGATTTGAAGCTGTTTAAATAAATAGCAGCTACTACAAAAGACAGTTTGATTTCACTSTAGTAAAACGGTCATTAGGATTATAATTGCGTCAAGCACTGGTGAGGATCTTAAGAAGTTTCGGTCATGACTTGGCTAGGGAAAGGCTGGGGAGAAGGGGAAAAAAAAGAAGTTTTTGTCATGAGAATAAAGCCAGTACAAATACTAGTTTAGTTCAAACCCCAAAACGGTGGAAATTGGAAATCTTAGCAATATAAAACTGTAGAGATCCTCTGAAAGGCTAAATGCAACACAATCCAGCAAACTCAACAAGCCCTATGCATTTTGAATGAGTTAAAGCACCCATATGTACAGATTTGCTCAGAGATACAATTCTAAATTGTTTCTGTGGTGAATAAATAARTAAGGCATTATAAAGGTCATCATTAAATGCTATACTTACCAAGGGGAGACTTTGGGGAACTTTAAGATCTCCAAATTAGATGGGGCTTTGTTTAATCAATAAGAGCAATGGCAGGAGTCTGCTCCTAAGATGATAAGAACATGTCATGCTAGCTTTGCTGGCAGCTGCCCCTTATCAGGCTTCGCTAGTTTSATGAGCTTAATTTAAATAATGAAGAAAACAGCTTTTTAATGTTAAAATGTCATTTAGTCCGGAATGTCAAGTAACTCACAGCAGTGTTGTTCTATGAGGTACRAGGCCAGTCTATGCCATTTAAACTATGGGCTTAAGACCCAGGGAACTTAAAAGTGACATGCTCTATTGCTTTTAAAGCATAGAGAATCAGACTTAATGCAAGTGCCAGGAGCTGCAGGAAGATGACATAAGGCACRTAGAATCCGAGAAGATCCGAGATTTGATTAATAGGGGGAAATTTATATTTTACTTCTATACATTACTGCAGAGTCAGCATAGGTGGTCTTGAATCCCAGGAATATCATCACAAAATCGATGTCCTGGTGCTTCTAGTCACTGTTCTCTTGAACAACCTGCATGCAGCAGCCTCAAACCAAGCTAGTCCCTGCATCATCCACATCTGTGCTGGGAGCATTTTTCCACAGAGAGCCAGTATTTACTTAAAATTTTCATGGGGACATTTCAACTAAGCTACCACTTCAGTTGGACACCCTTCTTTTTTTCTCCTGTCCACTCTGCGTAGTGTTATACTCCTCCTGTAGCTCATGGCATGTTTGTGTTGTTTTCACTATGGGCCATGTAGCTCGTTCACACCTTTAGAATAACTCAAAATAAGTGGCTGGGGGAGAAGCAGCTATGAAACTGTAAGGTGTGAACTCAAAATCGTTCCATTACTTGTGTTTAATCACGTTCTCGAGTGGGATCTGCAGCTGTCATTGAGGCTCTCCCCCATGTACCCGTGACATTCGCCAAAGTCACGTAACATCAAGCGTGGCTGTTTGAGCTGGGGTTCAAGTAGTACTTGGACTTCTGTCAGGTTCAGTAAATCTCCCCAACTCCCCATCCATCAGCCACGGGCCTTCTGGTGACTGTGCAGCCACTGGCTTCATCCCACCTCCCAGAAGACGAGCACATTCCCATCAAGACTGTCACCCAATTTAGCAGCAATTAACGTTCTGGGCATGAACTGCAGTGTAGGAAGAATCACTCCGAGTCCTACCTGTCCTTCACTAGAGACGATTCTCCAAAAATCAACAGCAGGACGTTTTAAAGATGCCTCTAACTGCAGTTGCTGTTCTTCTCTCATAGATTTATACTGGACTCAAACCTCCAAATGGAGGGAAAAATAGGTAATGGGTATTTTACTGCCCATACACTTCTTGTTAAATTGTCTCCCTTTTTTTCACTTAGCATCTGTCTCACTGAGTGCTCATCATCTGCGAGTGAACCATCTGATGTACAGCAGATGTTAAGCACTTAGTGAGGCAGAGAGGGAGGTAAAAGTGTCATATCATGATTAAACACTTGCTACAGCTATTGCATAGGTGACCATACTGCTTTGTTCTTATATTTAATGTTACAGTGTAGTGAATGCGAGCAGGCATGTGTTTTAGATTTACATTTGCAGTGCTACTATTTAAATAATTTACTTTCTTTTGCAAGTAAAGTTATTATACAGGAAAAAAAATCCTGAAAAGTATTTTAAAGTTGGGCAGCCCACTGTAGCATGTGTCTGTATTGCCTGGTCAGGAATTAGAAGTAGACAAGACCTTCTTCAGGCAAATGGAGGCTTTGTGTTCACAGATCCTGGTTCCTATGGGCGCTTTAACCACTCTGATATCTTCTGGAGGACCAACAAAGCAGGACACCAGCAACCCAGGAAATTTCTGGAGGGCAGTGATGACAACTTCCTAACACTGGTGATGGAGGAGCTAATGAGGAGGACTCTGATGGGCCACATAACTCGCACTCAAGGAGACATTGTTAGAGACACAAAAGTCAGAGGTAGCCTTAACTGAAGCAACAATGAGATGGTGGAGCCCTGGACTCTGCATGTTTGTCTCCTCTAAGCTCAAGAATGGTCATCCACCCTAGTTATAAGTCAATCAAGGAAAGGGGGCAGAAGGCCCACATGGATGTACATGGATGCACTCCTACCTAAACTCAAACATAACATGGAAGTATAGACGAGGTGGAAGCAGGAACAGGTGACCCAGAAAAGACAGACATATGGCTTGAGCATGTGGGGATGGGGTTAGGAGAGCTAAAACCCACCTAGGATTGACACAAAGGGTAATGTCAAATACAACAGCAGCAGAAGGAAGATATGGGGAAGATGGGGCACACTTCAGGGAGCTGGCCAACATCATTGCAAAGCCACTCTTGTTTTCCTTTGAAACAACCTTTGCGATCAGGAGAGGTTCCTGAGGATTGAAAGACAGCCAGTGTCACTTGTATCTTTAAGAATGGCAAGGAGGAACATTTGGGTACAACTACTCAGCTTGAGCAGGGGATATAGGACCAAACAATCTCAAAAGGCCCCTCATCTAACAAAACATTTAAAATTTATGTCACAAAGGGACTGACTAAAACCATTTTGACCAGAATTTTCCCAAAGTGAATTGACACATTAACTTTTATGGGATTACCCTATTTCTGTTATGTCAGCGTGAGATATGTGACTATTTACCCTTACAACTTTTGAGCTGAAAACTTGGCATCCAATTGCTTAGAGCTTGGTTTCATCAGGTTTGGAAGTCAAAAGTTCTATAGCTTAATGTTCGGAAAACTAATACATCAGACTAGTGAATATAAATTTCTAAATGAAATAATAATGATACAGTCTCATTAAAAGAATAATTGAAGAGTTCTTTCAACCATCCCCCAGATGCTGATTGTCTTCATTTATTTTTATAAGTAGCAACATTTGAAGATACATAGTCTCTTACATTGTCAGTAGTCTCCCATTAAAACAATAGGAATATAGCTAATTAAAGAGAACTCATTAAAAGTAAAAGAATAGCTGGAATATCCATAGAACAATGTGGTAAGAAATGGAGAGAATGAGAAGAAGTATTAGAGCATCCTGAACTTTGAGCAAAGCCTCTTACTACTTTTAAACTGGACCTGAAGAGCTTAAATTCAAGGACTCAGATACAAACCCTTCTTCTAAGGGCTTCTGTAGGCCCAAGATACCAACACAAGTTTAAAAAAAAATAAATAAAAAATAAAAATAATTAAAAAAAAAAATCAGGAAACTATAACAAAGCTTACAGTGGGGTTAGTAAGCATTTCTAGCACAGGACCAAGGAATCAATCTTGAATGTGACAGAAGATAAAGCATTTCTTAAAATGAAAGTCATTAGAGAAAATTTGTTGAAGCAGAAGATTAGGAACGGTTAACTCGACTTTGCACTGAGTGGTCAGACAACCAAGCATCAGTTTAATCACATAACTTAGAAACTTCAGACAGTAATCAAGCCTGSTGCGAAAAGGGAAATTCAATGGATTGCACCAAGAACTGATACTGGCCAAATAAATAGCGAAGAATATAAATACCCAGGGTTATAAAGGTGAGGTTTTGACTGTCTCACACTAGGTGCACTAAGCTCAAAAAAGGTTCTCCCACCTTCCTGTTGCTTGGAGGCCGTGGCAAGATGATTTAAGACGCAAAAGAAAATTAGCTATCATTTAAATCAACACACACATATATATTAGATGTATCTAGATTTTCCTTGAACACAGTTTTTGCCTTTCATGATGTTTCAGAAGTACCTGTGATCACGCAGATGGTAATTACTGACCTGGAACGTCAGTCACCTGTGTGAAGTTTTCAGTCAACTGAGGTCCTTGCGGAGGCTATTAAACAGCTCAGTGATTCTCATGTTCTGGTGTTAGCATAAACTGGTCTCATATAATGAGCTCAGGAAAGGCATCAAAATCCCAGATTTCTAATGAGGTGGAAAGAGCCAAAACATTACCGAGGAAGAAAGGGTCTTCTCCTCCTCAGCTGTTAGAGACTTATCCTACCTCAAAGCATAACGGATCATGAAAAATGTAATTTGTAATGTACCTGTATAGATAATCTGGTCCAATCCCCTGCTCAGAGCTGGGTCACCTTCAAAGTCAGGTCACAGCTATTTCCCATAAAGTTTTTAAACACTTCCAAGTGCCATTCAGCAGCAGGCATCTCTCTCAGTCTGACTTCTGCTACAAGAGCACCTGCAACAGTCCATCTTCTTGCCCTTCACGTGTCTCATCAATTCCAATTCAAGCTGACTTGAAGACCAATGAGCTCTCCCGGGTCATTTTAACTTTCAGGTCAGCCTCACCTGGGACCCAGCCAACTAATTCCCTGAACAAGCAAAAGCTGCTCTCTTGAATACCAGGACAAGTATCCTGCTCCTTGTGTTCCTCCCCTCCTTCACACTTTTCAACTCAATCATCCTGTGGTCACTGCAACCAAAGGCTGCCACCAGCATCAATATCCTTAACTGTTTCTTCTCTCCCTATGAGCAGCAGCTCTAGCAGAGCATGTCTCCTAATCTGCTCATCCTTCTGCTTCCCAGAACTTGTTCTTGATGTGCTCCAGCATTGTCTTCTCCTGTGCTTCCATACCAACACATCTTGGGATGGTTGGGATACCTCCATGAGGATCAGGGCCTGCAACCATAAGGCTTCTTCCAGCTTAAGGAAGGGTTCATCTACTTCCTCTTGATTTTCTGCTGCAGATTTGTGCTATCCCATCCCTGCTGCTGGCTCCTCTTCTGCACCTGATGCTTACTTAATCTCTTAATCAGTTCATTCCTCATTCAACAGCAGTCCTTTGTATGGAGAAAAAGCTTTCAGAATCACATTCCAATGTCAATTTATCTAATTAATGATGAGTAGCTTAAATAAAGCATTTTTTGCCTAGATTTCATGTATTTTCAGTTAATTTTATTAATATACTTGGGTAAAAGCAATAAATTAGGAATAACAGTTATCTTTAATGATAACATTTAAAAAAGCAACTAAAACAGCTGCCTGCTTTTTTTTTTTTTTTTTCCCCTCCACATAGAACTTACACTTCTAAGCTGATCAAAGACTAGGAAGTATAATTAGAACTTCATGAAATCTGTCTAATGAAAACAAGGTAGCAAATTAAGATAAAAAGTGTAAGGAACTCACTTTGGAAGCACCTTACCAAAGATTTGAACTTTGTCTGGAATAAAAAGAAAACATGCTTCCTACTGCAGTTCCTGCATTCCTTGCAGCTGCTAATGATCAAATATACAGTTGTTTGGATACACTAAGTATTAAGGATTGTAAGTATTATAAAGCAAGTTTTAGACTGCAGACTTATTTCAACACATGGATTTGTGATTTTATGCAGAAGAGTTTCAGACTGCTTCTTCTCCTAATGAAAAAAGCTGGAAGGTGGGTGCATTTAAATAAATAAATAACTGGTAAGTTGTTTTGCTTGTCACAAGAACAGAAACAACAGTGATCTAATGATCATTAACAGGGGTAGAAACAAAAAAAAAAAAAAAAAAAGATTGTGTGGCTGGAAAAGCAAGTGCTTCAAAGCAATGCGACCTGTATCAGCAAAAGTAATTTTACTTGCTTGAAGAAATTCTTTCCAACCATTAACAATCCTTATCTTTCAACAGTGCTGTCTTTCTCCAGACATCTCTGTCTTTCTGACCCCTCTTTTTATTCTCCTGTTTCAATTGCTACCTGCGTATTTGTAAGAGGAGACAGTATCTGATTGTAAGGTTGTAAATTAAATGCTCATGTTGTTCCTCATTTTCATTTCTATTTTCTTCAGAACCCTAGCAGTGATATTTGGGAAAATTAATGAGTGGCTCGATCTTTGAAGTACTGCCCTGCCAAATAAAAAGCAGAATAATAAATAATAATGTAATAAAGTGTAATTCTGTTTGCTAGATTGTAGAGGAAACAAGAGCAGATAAAACAGAAATGATCTGAAAGCTGAAGATTATCTTTCTTTGCTCAATAAAGTAATATTCAAAATTATGCTAAGTATAATCTATCAGAATGTTATCTAAAATTAGGTTACAGAAGTCATGGATGGAGTGCAGCTCATGCAGCATGAGCTCCAAGCCAGGGGTTAAATGCTCTTGTTTCACTCCAGCTCATCTGGAAATGATGTGATGACCCAAAAGCAATGCTGAACCCAAGCTTCTCATCTCAGCTGGGAAAGCCATGTAGACCCATGGCTTTGGTTGCATGGGTGCTTTAGGCACAGTGGGCTTTCATCTGGCTGGAATATCTCATGGAAACACATACTCAGATACCCAAAGCATGTGGCATGACTGGTGATTTGTGTGGTTGACCCAAGCAGATCTGGACTCTACAGTTGATACTCYGTGACACAAGGGAAATCTTTACAGTAGGTCTTCGAATGTTGATCCTCTCCTGCACTGAATTCAAATCCACATCTGGAAGCTCAGAGCTGGTCGATGCAGAATGAGGCTTTCTGGAAACACACTCATAATTTATAAAAAGACTTTTCAAAGAAAAGTTGTTGGCAAGAGACTTAGGAGATGATGCTAAAATTTACATCTATGGATCCGTTCATCTGCTGTTGGGAATCCTTAACATTCTCTATAGCAGACATGTGGCTCCAACTGGTACTAACAGCACGTGCCTAATACCTGGAGACTAAAAGGCAAACGGGTATTAGCCCCAGAGATCTAAAGGGAAGTGAAAAGCTGGACTTTCTTTCTTGCAGCTTTTAAAACAAGCACAGAGAGCCACAAAGAATTAGGAAAAAGCCCTAACAAGAGGAAATTTTCACTCCTTCAGGCAGAGCTCTTCTCTGCTTTCACGGTTGTGAAACAGCGTTCATATTTTCCCCAGTTTGGGGGCAACATATATACTTTGATATTGCACTTGCTTTTAGAAGGGATGTTCTGATTCTTGACCAGGAAATCCAAGAGAAAACCTGCCAGTTGCATTTTTGCTTAACGTTGACTTTCACTTAAGCACAAAGAGGAAGGTAGGCATTGAGACATCCATGTCACGGATTTTACTGTATATACCTATGTAAATTGCTAATAGACAATATATAAAAGGAAAAGAAATAGGCGTATAAAATATAAAATGACTTGACTTTGCTGGGTTTTATTTTTCCATTTTTAAAAAGCTAGATTGAGATAGCATAGCTTTTTACTATTAGTATTTATCTGCTCAGAGAAGAAGCTAGGATTTCTGATATAGGAAATGCTTGAGCCAAATTCAACTTAACGCCTATGTTGGCAGCTCTTGCATTTTCTGTTTGCAACAACACAGTGAAAAGGGAAAAACTGCAACCACCATCCTTGGGGTGACAGCACTGGAAGTGACTGCAGCAGCCAAAGAAAGATCCCTAAGCTGCTACTGCTAGGCTTAATAGGAAGAATTAAAAAATATAGACAAAGAGATTTATTTTTTTTTTTYCTCTGGGTTACTTCCACATAGCCGTGCTGTTCTCACTGCCTTTCTGCTATAGCAACTGTGCCTTATCAGCCCCAGCTGCTGGTTTCAGGCTCTGCTCCCCTAGCACAAATTAGGACGTTAACTCTCCCTTCTAGGGAAGCCAAAACGAGATGACAGGAAGAATATTGAAGTGATCTTTTAATTTCAGGGCAGAGGATGCAAAGTAAACACAGCATGCTCATCCATGGCTTCCTGCAGGGACAGCGCTGTGCTGGAAGGCATTCAAGGAATTAAGCGTGATTCTTCTTTTTTTTCCAGGACTGGGTCCTAGCTGCTCTTCCAGGCAAACGTTTTGGCCACTCCGTGGCTCCCTAAAGCCTGGAATGAGGAAGCTTGCGAGCATGCAAAATCCTAACAAAGAGATGGTGCAGAGTTAGGCACGCTTAGGTACATAGGAATCGCCTCAGTGCTCGAGGAGAACCAGGGCAGAAAACCTCGGCAGCAGCGGAGAATTGCAAGGTGTTAATCTGAAGTCAACTACAGAAAAAAAATTCCTCCTTGGCAGACTTCCTTGGCAAAGGCAAGAGAGCAAATACGCAAAGCAGACGCTCCTGGGGTGCATTGTGAAGGAACCTTCTCTAGTGCGACTYTGCATCGTTAAAAAGCAATTTATACCGGTGTTTATCCAACTGCAGATGCTGTCATCTTACTTTTTAGCTCTGTTTATAGTGTCTTAATCTTCTACTAAAACGGCGTCTTCTTTCTTTCTTTCTTTGTTTTTTCCCCTGTGGAAAACTGCTAGTTCTTCTCCCCGCGTGCTGAACCGCCTTGTTCTGCYTTTCCCGCAGGTCTTCCACCTACTGGCTGAGCCGCATCCAGTCCTTCCTGTACTGCAACGAGAACGGGCTGCTGGGCAGCTTCTCGGAGGAGACGCACACGTGCAGCTGCCCCAACGACCAGGTGGCGTGCCAGGCCTCCCTGCCCTGCACGGTGGGCGAGGGCGCCGCGTGCCTCAGCTGCGCCGCCGACAACCGCACGCGCTGCGGCGGCTGCAACGCCGGCTACATGCTGAGCCAGGGCCTGTGCAAGCCCGAGGTGGCCGAGTCCACCGAGCACTACATCGGCTTCGAGACGGACCTGCAGGACCTGGAGATGAGGTACCTGCTGCAGAAGACGGACCGCCGCATCGAGGTGCACGCCATCTTCATCAGCAACGACATGCGCCTCAACAGCTGGTTCGACCCGTCCTGGCGCAAGCGGATGCTCCTCACTCTTAAGAGCAACAAGTACAAGTCCAGCCTGGTGCACATGATACTGGGCCTCTCTCTGCAGATTTGCCTGACTAAAAACAGCACCTTGGAGCCCGTTCTCGCTGTTTACGTCAACCCTTTTGGGGGCAGCCACTCTGAGAGCTGGTTTATGCCTGTGAACGAAAACAGTTTCCCAGACTGGGAGCGGACTAAGCTGGACCTACCCCTTCAGTGCTATAACTGGACGCTGACTCTGGGCAACAAGTGGAAGACGTTTTTTGAAACGGTCCACATCTACTTGAGGAGCCGAATCAAGTCGAGTGGCCCCAACGGCAACGAGAGCATCTACTACGAGCCCCTGGAATTCATGGATCCCTCGCGGAACCTGGGCTACATGAAAATCAACAACATCCAAGTGTTCGGCTACAGCATGCACTTCGACCCCGAAGCGATTCGAGACTTGATCTTGCAGCTGGACTACCCCTACACTCAGGGATCACAGGACTCGGCACTTTTGCAGCTGCTGGAGATACGGGACCGTGTAAATAAACTCTCCCCCCCCGGCCAGCGTCGCCTAGACCTCTTCTCTTGC